TATATATATATATATATATATAGGTATAAGATGCTGGGCTTGTGCTTATCGATGAGTATGCACGTATCCCTGTATATAGCACATGCATTGCATACACATTCTATATACAGCGCATACTCCTTGTGCCGGCAATGGCGACACCTACATGTTTTCTTGCTGCCTTTTTTTATCCTTGTGCCTTGCAACTTCACAAACCTCCCACGGCCTCGGGTGCCTTAGAGCGGCAATGTACGAATAATTTGTTTTAAGTGGCAACGTGACAATTGCTCATTTCGAATGTATTTGAACGGAGACATGACTGTTTTTTGGGGAATGTTTTAGAGGACAGCACTAGAGCCGGTAATTTGAAATATGCTCTACGGCTGGACAAGTGTTAATTCAAACCTGAAGCACAAACTGCCAACTGCCTATTTAAAATGTCCCAGCAAAACATGACGACGGCCCATGTAAACCATACGATAGAATGCTAACATGGCTGCTGTTTACCCAATTCGCTCGCTGCATCCTAGTTGCATACAAGCACTCCATTTGGTTGGCCTTAGAGTACACCGCCACGTTCTCTCACTATGCCGAAACTTTGTTTTCTGCCCACTGTGGGTGCTGTTTCCGAAGCATCCGCTATCCCTGTTGCTTGTGCAGCCGTCCCCTACTGTCTTCCCTCAAGATCCGCACAAATTCCCCTCCTGAGTGCCTAATTAGCTGCAGTAGCTACGGCTAATACCTCTTATTCATCGCTTACTTATGCTATTCCCCAAGTCTCTGCGGGGTTCTTATTGGTGCCTATGCTGGGTATGCTGGGGCGACGACAGCAACTGCATTTACAACTGGTACCTACTGGCCTCAGCCATACGCACCATGCCCTCGTAAGCTTCTCATTTGGTAGTTAATGCTTAGGGCGTTTGCACACGAGTGGCTTGATGCTCTGCTTTCCTCTAAAGCTGCAGAGCCAAAGGGTACAACAGTAGCAGAAACCTTCCCATACGAGGTGCGTCCGTAGCTCTTCATAGAAAAGGAGGGGGCAACAGCTGCCTCTTCAGACTCCTCTGGTTGCTGTTCCCAAATAAAACACAACAAGCGAGCGCAAAAGCAGGTGTAAACACCACGACCCCAGAGGCTAATGTAAGTAGAAATAAGGCTGAATCTGTTTAAGAAGCGTTCACCTGTATTGTGTGTCTATGTGGAAATACGCGGAACACAAAAGGGAAATAAAGGAGAAAGCTTCCTGGTAGACTGCAAACCATCGGTGCAACAGCGCACGCTGCAACGGGGGCGGCAGGTTGGTCGGTGTCTGTGCGTTTTCTCAAAATGAGGATTAACTGAAACATGCGGAGCTCAAATACAATATTTAAAACTCAAATGTTCTCTGGTTCCAACAACCGCTGCTGCCCCAAGCGCTGCCGCTTTGCAACGGACGCTGCATGCAGGAGAGAGCCCTGGCGATCCGATCCAGGAAGATGGGGCTTCCTCTCCACGTCATTTTGGCTTTTTACCATTAACGTGCCTGCATGAGCCTTCTGTCGTTCTTTTGAGGGACTATACAAGTGCCTGAATGCGGCCTTTCTGTGCCCCGTTCTGATCTGGAGGCTCGGACGCAGTGTGATTGTCTACACGGCCACGGCATGTACCAGTTCCTTCTCCTACGTTTCTTTAGCGCCTATACATGCAGCTTTATAATCCCGCAAAGATCGAAAGCTGCCACCTCACAGCAGCCGCAGGGTACCTAGGTCAACCCCCCAGCGGCTTTTTCGATATCCGCATGATCTGTGTGTACAGCACCTGCCTTTGAGGGTTTGAAGCGTCTAATCTGTTCGCTCTCCATTTCAAAACAAATAGTGTGGCCGTCCTGCTGTGCCGCCTCCTCTTAAAGCTCGTCCTCTGCACCCATTTGCTGCGGAAATCCCCTTCGGCTATCCAAGCCACTTGCACACTGTTGTTCCACTTCAGTTCACTGGGTGAGCTCCGACGTGGGTACGTTTCCGCTGTGCTAGCTGATGCAGCGCCTGCTGCAGCTGCAGTGCGCAGCAGCAGCCGCTGCTGCAGCGGCTGCAGCAGTTTAGCCTCTAACGCAACCTACCTAGCATCTTGGGGTGGACCACTCATAAGACTGGCTACTGCTATCCGTAGCAGCGACAGCTGTCACAAGCAGCGCTGCTGTTGTTGTTGCCGTGCAACACGGGACATTCAAATGCCCTTCGGCACTCGTGTTTAAGACAGCGGCAACGGCTGCTGCGGCAGGAGTGGTTAGAGAAAGGCCTTAGCAGTTGCGCGTTCAAAAAAAAATGAAACTCACGCAGCAGAATTTGGTGGTGCCACAGCAGCAGCCGCATCTGCCGCAGCAGCCTCAGCAGCCGCAGCAGCAACAACAACAGCCTCAGCATTGGCCGGATAGTCCCGACGCGCCTCTGCAGCAGCAGCTGCAGCAGCTACCTGTTCAGCCGCAGCAAATGAACGGCGGTCAGCTGGGCTTCCCTTTGCAGGGACAAGCGAGAGATCTAGCACAGATCACGGCAACGCCATCATCCGCGGCAGCTGCTGCCGCTGCGGCGGCAGCTGCTGCTGCCGCTCCACCCCTCGCGCCCAGCACTACGCAGCAGCTGCTTGTCCAACAGCAGCAACAGCAACATCAGCTTCTTGCGCAGCGAGGTCTGCTGCAGCACTTGCAGCAGCAGCAGCTGCATAAACAGCAGCTCCAGCCGCAGCTGCCTGTGGGCATGATGAAGGTGCCGCAGTTGATGCAGCAGCAGCAGCATGTGCGACAGCAGCGGCTGCAGCTTCAGCAGCTGCAGCAGATGCAGCAGCAACAGCTGCAACATCAACAGTTGCAGCAGCAGCAGCTGCAGCTCCTGCGCACTCCTGAATCTCCAGGGCTCTACAGTGCCTTCTGTCGTCTACTGCACCAGCTGTCGTTGCACCGGCTGTCGCTACGGGATGCTCGAGTGAGGGTGCTGTTGGTTGTGCTGCGGTGGCTACAGCAGCAGCACCATCATCAAACAGACCCTTCGCGGCTTTTCAAGAGGGACCAACTTGATCGACTTGTACGACAGACACGTGCCTACATGCGGCTGTTGCTGCAGCAGCAGCCTTTGAAAGAAGAGGAGCTGCTGCAGCTGGGCATATCGCCTGCTCTTGGCTTTAAGCCTAACCGCGAATTCATTGCTGCAGTTGCTGCAGCAGCAGAAGGCGCAACGAACTACAAACCCCCGACGCCGAAGGAGCAACAACAGCACCAGCGGCCCAGAAGCCACCAGCTGTTCGTCCAGCTCTACGAGGAGCAGCTGCAACAGCAGCAGCAACGAGCACTAGATGCGCTTGAGCAGCAGGCGCAAAAGTACGAGGAATTGGCGCGTTTGAGGCTGGAAAGGGAGGAGCAGCAACAGCAGCAAGATGAGCAGCAACTAGAGGAGCAGCAGCAGCAGGAGGGACTGCAACACCCAGAAGAAAAGCATCAGCAACTGCAGCAGGAAGAACGATCTCAGATGGATCTGCAGCTTCAAGCAGGAACTCCAAAAAGCAATGGGCAGCAGAACGGGCCTCCTCTTGCCGGCACTCCTGTGGGCGATATAGAACAGCAGCAGGAGCCATCCTTGCAGCTGGGAGCTCATCCTGCCCCTGCAAGACGCGCAGACGACAATGGTGCGAAGAGAGAGGATAGCTCTGCAGTTGCTTGTAACCGCAGCAGCAGCAACGGCAGCATGTGTGCAGAAGAAGTCGAAGCAGCTGGAGCGGAAGCAGGAGCTGCAATGGGAGAGGGGGCTGCACCGGGGACATACGCTGCTGCGTCTGGAGAAGCGAGTGACGGTGAATGTTGTTCGTCTTCTAGTGAGGAGTGGTGGGGAGTTGGGGGGTTGCAGCGTCCAGCAGACGACGGCAGCAGCAACAGCATGCAAGAGAGGGCGCGTCTGAGCCGTTTGCAGCGGCGGTTGCTGCTTCTGGCTCCCTTCCAGAAGCAAATTCGAGAGCAAGTTCTGCTGCAGCGGCTGACGGAGGCACCAGGGCAGCTGCCTCCTCTGCAGCAGCTGCCTGTGAGGCTAGCGAGGAAGCATAGGGCCTTGCGGTTGCTGCGTGAGAGGGGAGACAGACTGACGGCGGCGCGTCAGCAGCAGCAGCAGCAACGCCAGCAAGTGCTTCAACAGCTGCTCGACAGCCACAGACGCACGTTCCTGCAGCAGCACCGGGACGTGCTGCGGCAGCTGCGCCGAGTTGCTGCTGCTGTCAAAAGAAAGAAGGCAGCAGCAGCAGATGGAGCTGAGGGACCCAGCAGCTGCGGCCATCCACTACACCCCACAGATTGCGGCTGTCCTGGAGCTGCTGCTGTTGCAGCGCAAATGAGAAAAGAGAGGCTCGATGCTCTGAGGGTGAGATGCAGTAGCTGTTTGGTGCTGTTGCCTGTTGCTGCTGATGATGCTGATGCAACGCACTTGTGTTTCCTGTTGGGATTGGGGGCTGAAGCTGCTGCTGCAGTTGCTACTGCAGTTACACTTGACAGGAGTAAACATCCCTGCTGATGTTGCAGCCTACGACGCCTTGTGTTGTCTCGCTTTGTGTTGCATCCTGAAAAAGCCGAATATGACTATTAGGGAGTATGGAAGGGAGGTGGAGGAAGGGAGGGAGTTGCCTGTGCTGGTGCTGCCGTGGGTTGGTTCTGCAGAAACACGATGAAGCGGGTTACTTGAAGCTACTGCAGGAGACGAAGAATGAGAGGCTGATGCAGTTGGTGCAACAGACGGAGCGGTACATGCAGCAGATCGGCAGCCTCGTTGTGGAACAGCGTGAGAGAGAAGGCATCATTGTCCCCTCGGTGAGAAGATGTCGCATGCGTGCATCTGTAATGCATGCTTGCATTTAACTGCCTGCAGTTGTTGAGTATATTAGCGTTTGCGGAAGCAGGGTGAAGACATGGGGCGAACATATCAATGTAATAGTGCTTGCCGTACGCATACTGGCGTTTCGATACCCTGCAGATGCGCCAGTTGCCACTTGACTCTTGCTGCTGCTGCTGTTGCTGTTGCTGTTGCTGTTGCTTGTGTGTGGCTTATAGACTGAGGAGGAGGCAGACGGCGCTGCGGAGGAGGCTTCTGGCTCGCTTTCTTCTTCCTTTTTGTTTTCCAAAGAGAGATATTACCGCATCACTCACAGCCAACGGGTACCCTACAAACCCCATACACCATGCACACTTGTTGCGCATACACCGCACCCACAAATTATTCCTCACATACATTAGAGCTCCGCCTCCTGTAGACTCGGCACACACCCAATATGCCTGTAAGTACGCGTTACACTGCTGAATATGCACCCCCGACACCTGTGGATGCACACCACATACCTGTGCATACTGTAGACGCCTCTAAGCGCCATGCAGCCCATTGCACACATCATTCGCTTGCCACATCTATTCTGGTCGTTGCGTTCCTCCCACGCATTGGGATTCATCATATCTCACAACCGTAATATTCAGTACACTGCACGATATCTGTACACTACAGATAGCCTGTACACCCCAAAACCTGGGCCGGGCGGTGGCGTACAGACGTACTAGGGGCTAAATGGGCTGTTTCTGGCTTGAGCCAGCGCTGTCGCTACGGCTGCAGGTGCTGCTGCTGCCACTACTGTTACTGCTGCCGGTGGTTCTGGTGCTGCTTGATATATTTGGTGTTCAGTGTGTGAGTGTGCATGCTTGCTACCATGGGTTTGTTTCTCGTTTGTTTATGCTGACATTTCAAACAGGAGCGAGTCACGGAGTTGCCTTCCTGCCTCAAGGGGGGAACCCTGCGCCCTTACCAGATGGAGGGACTCAACTGGCTTGTCTCACTGCACAACAATGGGCTCAACGGAATACTTGTAAGTTTAAGCCGATGTTGCTGCTTCCGGTATTGCTGCTGCCTGACGATAGAAGAGAATTTAGCAATGTTAGGAAGTTGCTGTGGGCTGGGGTGGCACTAAGTGGGGCTTCTGTTCGCGCCTTTCGTCGTTGCTTGTGGATCCATTTCCTTTTGCTGCTACATTTACTGCTGTACGTGTTGTTGCAGGCGGACTGCATGGGGCTGGGGAAGACGGTGCAGACGGTATCCTTTTTAGCTTATCTTCACGAGAAGAAGGGAGTTCGAAACCCTCATTTGATTTTAGCTCCCCTCTCCACTTTACACGGCAACTGGCGCTTCGAATTTAAGAAGTGGTGGCCCTCTCTGAGAATAGTTGTTTACGAAGGCGCAAAGGAGGTCGGATCTTCCTCCCTCTTCTTTTTTTTCTTGTTTCGCCTCTTTTGACTACTGCTATATTATTCGCCATTATTGGAGTAGTAGTATTTACCTCGTCCTTGCTTCTCTTTTTACTACGTGCTGCTGTTGTTGTGGCGTTATCTCGTCCTCGTTCCTGTTGATATTAGTGCTTGTCGTTCATGGTGTAGTTGAATTGTTTCCACCGTGCTCATATTGTCATTATTATCTGTCCTCACTGTTGGTGGTGGTTTATATATGTTTCTTCAATTTTGATACTCTGAAGGCTGCTTATCCTCTTGTGCTGTCTTTACTATCGCTGGTGTTGGTGTCGTCGCAATTTAGTGAGAAAGGTACAGTGAACCATAAACCCGCAAAACGAACGTTTTGTTGTTGCCATAAACGTTCGTTTTGCGGGTTTAAGATCCGCTTTACCTTTCTCACTAAACTGCGACGACACCAAATCGATTTCGTGAATATTCTGTACTCACGTGTAATCCCCTGTATTGTTGTTATTACATCCGAGTCGTTTTATTGCTTCCTTTGGGTCGGACTTCCCGAATATTGGCGTCGTTGTTTTTCTCTTCTGGTCCACTTTGCTCTTATGCGTGCGATTACCATTATTCGACCTCCGAATTCATTTCAGTAGTACTGCCGTTTTATAACATCTATTTGACCTTAATAGCGTTATCATTAAAGCATATAACCCCGTTTAAACACTATTTGGCATACATTGATTGTTTCTCTTATTGGTCCCCCCGAGTCGCAATGGCGTCGCTCGTTGTTGAGTTTGCTCCTGCTCTGGTTGCTCGTTTGCGGCTCACGAGTTCGCCTCTGACCGTCCATCTCATCAGACTGCTGCTGCAGCAGCAGGTTGCTGGAAAGCTATTGCTGCACCTTGCGCCACCGCTGCTTCAGTTGCCGTTCATGCTGCTGCGGCCGCAGATCATAGGCTTCTTTTGAAGTTGTTTTTCATTGTTGTTGTGCAGGTGCGGAAAGCACTTAGGAACCGTATTGTCTCGGGGGTTCGCGTCGACAGCAGCGGGCCGGAGGCGCAGCGATTCTGGGAGCCTCTATTTGATGTTTTGCTGACGACTGACGCCTTTGTGCTGCGCGACAAAAGCTTCCTCAAGAAGATCCAGTGGGAGTATCTCATCGTCGATGAAGCCCACAGGTGCGCTATCAGCTAAATTATAAACCTTGCGGCGCAAGTCGTGCCGCGTGGGCTTGACCCTGCCTAAATGCACATCCTGCCCTGGCCGGGTGCTCACCCTCTTCTGAATTTGGTTGTGGCTGTTGGTGCGGGTCATACTCCAATTATTAGCCTCGTGCACAGCCGGGGGTGGCGTGCATCCCTCATATTTACTGCCCCTTTCGCTTTCCTTGCTGTGAGTGGTGCTGTTGTGTTGTCTCTGCTGGATCTCTACATAGTTTTCCATGCCGTGGGGTCCTGCTGAGGAGGTGAACTATTTCTTGGTTTTGCTGCTGTAGCTGCTGTTACTCTACGGCTAACGGTTGGTGGTTTAATGAGGCTAGCAAAAAGTCGCTGCCTCGCTGATGTTGCTGACCTTATGCTCCCAGTTTTGTCGTGTGTTGTTGCTGCTGCTTTTAGGCTGAAGAACCCCAGCAGCAAATTGGTGCAGACGCTGAACTCGGGCTTTTCCATTCGAAGACGCATTGCATTGACAGGTAGGTCCAGGTCCCGTGTCTGGGGGTATCCATGCCGCTGCTGTAGTACTACTGTTGCAGTACTGCTGCTGCAGTAGCTATATGGATTGCCTGCCGCTGCAATAGCTATATGGATTGCCTGCTGCTGCAGCAACGGCAGCCGGGGGTGTGCTTGCAGTGCACTTTGCTGTATAACTGCCATTTTAGCTTCTGCAATAGCAAGTTCTTCGCACGGTAGCAAGAGCTCCCTTCGGTCTCTCCTCTGCATACGCGCAAGGTTCCACCAGATTTCAGAGGGTTTGGCATTGTTTCATATGGTTTGGGGTTTAGGGTGAGAGCGTGGCTTGCAGGGACGCCACTGCAGAACGACATTGTGGAAGTTTGGGCTCTGTTGAACTTTCTGATGCCTTCGATATTCAACGCGAAGCTGAACTTCGAGCAGTGGCTGAACGTCCCGCTGGGCACTTCTTCGCTGAACAGTCTGCAAGCAGGCGCTGCCGAAGAGTCGGCGCACACCTTAACCGTAACGGAGGAAGAAAAGCTCCTCATCGTCGACAGATTGCACAAGGCAGGGCAGCCACCACCCTGCAGCACTTCCACTGCTTCCAACAGCTGCGAGCCTAGCTCTCAGCACCGAAGGCTGAGGGCACTAAGGCTTGTATATTTTAGCGGGCCTGCGGTGTAGGGGTTAGGGTCTTGGACTTGAGGGTCATGAGGGTTTAGGGATCGGGGATCTTGGTGCATGCATACGAACGTGCAATGGGAAACAATTGACATGCTTTATGTGTAGCTGTAGTATGTATAGCACACCTTTCCTATATATGAGGGACATCATATCTCGAATATGTTGTCTATTTGCGTGTGCATGCGTGGGTGTTGTTTCTCCCCAAAACGGGTTTCTTCGAACCCCGTTTTGTGGCTTTACCAGCTGTGCCGCTGCAGTGTTTGGCTGAAGCAGATTTCATGCAGCTGGGAAATTCGTTACTCTTGCTTGACCACTGCCTCAAGCGTCGCTTACATGCTGTGGGATGCATGTGATGTGGTGTGCATGCTGTGAGGTATATGCAAGGGCTTGTGTGCTACGGTATCTGCGCTGGCGTGTGTGTGCCAGGATGTATATGCTGAGCAGTGTGCACAAATAGCCTCTGCATTGGAGTGTGTGTGCTGAGCTGTGTATGCTTAGGTGGCTGTGCAGGGTTCTTGCACAGAACTGCATGCGCTGATGTGTTTGTGCTGGGGTGTGTTTGTTGGGCTGCGTGAGCAGGTTCTTCGCCCTTTCCTGCTACGGCGCGAGAAGGCAGAAGTGGCTGATGAGTTGCCTTCGAAACAGGAGGAAATTGTTTGGTGCCCTCTGTCCGGCGTGCAGCGGATACTTTATCGCATTGTGAGTTTCAGTGGTCTAGGGTTTGGGGTTCGGCGTTTAGGTTTTCGGATTACTGCAGGGTTTAGGATTCATTGCTTGGGACTGCGGTGAGTGGGGTTCAGATCGAAGAGAGTCCTATGGGCCACAACCGAATGGTGCAGCTTCGCAAAGTCTGCAATCATCCATTTCTCTTCTGCTTTAGCTCCTTTACCCGTGAGTTTAGTGTTTAGCACCTTTAAGATACCCGTGTCTCCGCCTTTTCAGCTCGTGCGGGCTCTTTTTCTCGAAACAGTGCACCCATGCAGTTGCTACTGCTCGTACTACTGCTGCATTAGCAGCAGCAGCTCCCGCTGCTGCCTGTGGAACTGTTGTTTTTGTTGCATTGGCTTTGCGGGATTCTACTGCAACAGCAAATGCGGTGGAGGTTGTTGGTTGTAGGCGTTGCAGTGTTGTGTTGCTGCCGCTGCGGTGTCAACCGCCACTGTTTCTGCTGATGTTGCTGTTGCTGCAGCTGATGAGAGTCTGGTACGCTGCTGCGGGAAGTTCGCGATGCTGGATGTGCTGCTGCCGGCCTTGAAGGCAGCGCAACATCGGGTGTTGGTCTTCAGCCAAATGACGAAACTTCTCGACCTCCTGGAGGTGGGACTGGCTTTTGTTTTCTTCGTACATTTGCGTCTCTCTGCAAGCTTGCATGCAGAGGGGATACATGCAACAACATGGTTGGCGCTTGCTCGTTGTCCCCTCTGCGGCTGCCGAGCCCACGCTAGTTTGCCCCTCCTTCGTTGCTCCTCTGTCCTTGCCTGTGAAAGACATAGGATCAACAGCAACGGGCACAGCAGCCGCAGCAACAGCATATCAGGAGGAGCAGCAGAATCACTGGCATTGTTCGTGTATCTGTCCATGCATTGAAATCCGCCTGTATTGATGTCCTTATGCAGGCATATTTGTCTTTGAGGGGCCATCAATATCTCCGCTTGGATGGAGGAACTTCGAGCGAAGAGCGGCAGACGCGGCTGGCGCTGTACAATCAGGAGAACTCCCCCTATTTCCTTTTCATTCTCTCCACAAAAGCAGGAGGTAGACTCTCAACCCTAAGCCCACAGCACCACTGCTGCAACCATAAAAATGCAGCATACGCGGAAGAGACCAACTCTGCTCGTGCAGCACAATGAACGGGCTTCAGTAGGGGGTGGTGGCTTAGGGTGTAGTATACAGGGCTTAGGGTTTAGGATATAGGGTTTAGTGCTGGAGGAGCTTTTTCATGTAGGCCTTGGGGTCAATCTCCAGTCGGCAGACACCGTCATAATCTTCGACTCCGACTGGAATCCGCAAAACGACGAACAGGCACAGTCCAGGTATTTTGCTGTTGCTTTTGTGGATGTTGCTGGTACTACCTCCGTTTCTGTTCTTCGGTTCCCCTCCGTGTGCTTACATATTGTTCCTACCGTGTTGTTGCTGCTTCTAGACAGCGTGCTGCTGCTGCCCTTGCGAGTTCTGCTGGTGGCGGTGGTAGGGCTGCTGCTGCGGCGACGGCTGTACGGCTGATATGGCTACTGCTACTAACGTGATTCGTTGCACTGTTTTTGTAGCTGCTGCTTCCGCCTGTCGGGTTTCACAATTTCAGTGGTATTTGCATATATGGTTCTTGGTATCCTGGCTTAGCAAGAGTAGCTCTGTGCTGAGTACTGCGTCTGCAGTTGGCTGCCGCTTCTGATACTGCTTATTTTGCTACTCTTGCTGCTGCTTCACTTGCTTCTTTTGCTGCTGCTCGTGCTCCTGTTTTGTTGTTGGCCCCCGTGCTGCTGCAGGGCGCACCGCATAGGCCAGAAGCGGGAGGTGCTGACGATTCGATTTGTGACTCCGTCTTCCGTCGAAGAACAAATTTTGCACTCCGCCGAACTGAAGTTGGACAAAGATGCCCTCGTGATCAAGAGCGGAATGTACAACGGCGAACTTCAGGATAGAGAAACTGAACGACAAGAACAGTAAAGCAGCCACAAATCCACATATGCACAAACGAGGGCAAATGCACATATAGGTTATATACACACCCAAACCCCACTGCAGCACCAACACACCAAATCGCTGCACCATGACCATCAGCAGCAAGAGCAGTAGCGGTATCGGCAGGTGCAGCAGGGCTGTCTGTGAGCTATGGGAGTTCGCCACCTGCTTTTATTTTGCATTTCTCCTTGTCGTTTCTCCGTTCATTCGTCTTGTGCGTTTTCAGTTTCTGTCGATTATCTCTGCTTCTGTCTGTTTTTTGTTTGTCCTCCTTCCTTGCGTGCTGTTTTGTCCGTGCTGGTCTTCCTTCTCCGGCCTGCAATCGCTGCTAGCTACCAGCCCTTTGCTCTTTGTTCTGTCTGCTGCTACTGTTGTTGCTGCTGCTGCAGAGTGCGTGAGATCCTGCGTCGCCGGAAGCAGCTGGAGGCGAACTGGAGTCGCCCTTTTGACTTCACCGTGTTGAAAAACCAGTTGGCTAGAAACCCGAAGGAGGGCCGAGTATTCGATGCGTTGCAGCGTATTAGACAAGTATAGCCACACATGCTCGTCCTCTTGCTGATTCTATGCTGATGCTCCTAATGCTGTTTCTGTTGCTATTTCCGCTTCTTGTGACGCTTGTTCTTGGTGCTCTTTCACCTGGTACCGGCTTTCGTGCTGAGCCCATTTTCGCTTTTCCTCTAGCTCCCGCTGCTGCTCCTGGTGGTGGCTTTTGCTGGTGCTGTTCGTTTTTGGCTCTGCTCCTGCAGCTTATAGTACCTGTTGCACTTTGTCTTTGAGTGGCGCATGGTCTCCGCTGCAGCTGAAATGCAGCTCCAGCATGTACATTAGCGTTTGAGCCTCAGTGGCATGTCTGTCGTTTGTTTATTCTTTTCCATTTGTTTTCTCTTGTTTTCCACTGTTTTCATATGTTTGTTTGTCTGTGTCCGTTTGTTGCTTTTACTTTTCGCTTTGGCCTCCTAGCTTCTGCGCATTCAGCTGTTGTTTGTTTGTGCTTCTCGTTTGCTGCACTGTCGCCGCAGCTGCTGCACCTGCCAGGCCTCATATACGGCGAAATAATTCCGCCGTGTCTCTTCAAATGGTCGAAGACAGTAGAGCGCTCGCAGGTGCGACCCTGCAGTGCCTTGCTGCACCAGATGCAGCCGCTGCCACTGTTGCTGGTGTTGCTGCTGCAGAGCTGAGGAAGGACAGAGTTCTAGTAGCCTCCGCAGTTGCAGCATCGTGCACGCAGCCTCACAAGAAAATGGATGTCACCAAGCGTAGAACCAGTAGTCCTTATTGGCAGCAGCAGCAGTAGTACAAAAGTAGAACGCGTTTGATGAATGGTCTTCTGGTCGTCGCGTCAGTGGAGGCGTGAAATGTGTAGGTAGTCAGCGTGTTGTATTCTTGCTTATCTTGCTACTACTGCTCATGCGGGTGGTGGTGGTTGTTGTTGTGCTTACCTACAGACGCAGCTGGTGGCCAACACTGCACAGGCCGCTCAGACCTGGAAATGCGGCTACGCGCTCTCAGACTTCTGGTCGTTGCAACGCAAAAAGAAAATCCCGCAGCTGTTGCCTGTGCCGCTGCAGTTCGTCGGCAGCAGCACTGGAACCACGAGCCTCCACACTGCAGCTGCGCAAATGCAACCAGCAGCAGCTGCTGCACCACAGGCCGCGACACCGTCGCCACCACCACCATCAGCAACATGGCTAGCGACAGAGACGGGGGAAGTGCCACTGCCATCTGCTGCTTCTGATGCAGGAGCTGTGCGTTTGGTGGTGCATGGGGAAAGCGCCAGTTTGCCTTTCTCTCTGCAGGAGCAGCAGATGCAACAGCAGCAGCAACAACCAACACCAGCACAGCAACAGCAGTCTCAACAGGAGAGAGCGGAACCTGAGGCTCCTTCTGCTGGTAGCTGCTCTACACTTTCAACACCAGGTGCAGCTCCAGCAGTAGGGGCAGGAACGGCAGCAGCGGAGGGCGAGGTGGCGGCTGCAACGCCTGGGCCGATGCTCGTTGGTTCGCCGGGTGCTGTTTCTGCTACACAGGGCGACGCATCTGTTGAGGAGTTGGATCCAGGAGCAGGGATAAGAGTTTCAAAACAATTTGCTACTGCTGCTGCAGATACTTCTAAAGCCCAACAGGTGGCTGATGGTACACCCGCAGCTTCTTTGCAAGCGGCCGTGGCGCCAGCAGCAGCAGCAGCAACGGAAGCACCCTCGGCAGGAATAGAATCAGCAGCAGCAACAGGACTAGGAGCTACGGATATGGGAACAGATGGCGCCTTACAGGCAGCCAATGTACTCGCAGTGGATGCGGCTGCAGCAGCGGATGCATCAACGGGAACGACAGCAGCAGCAGCCGGTTTGGATCGTCTTTCTTCTGGCGAAACAACTGTGTTAACGGTCAGTGCTGTTGCTTCGATTGAGGCTGCGCCTTCTGTCGTCGATGGTGCTGCTGTAGTAGCGGGAGAAGGACCAGCAACACCGGCAGAACCACCAGCCGCAGCAGCAGGCCCAGTACCAGGAGCAGCGCCAGCGGCAGAAGCAGCGGCAGCCGGTTCAGCAGTAGGATCCGTTTTGCGGGATGGCAGCAGCAACGTGTCTGCAACTGGTGCCGCTTCTGGTGCGTCAGGTGCTGCAGCTGCAGCAGCAGCTTGTGGGCGGGTGGTGCCTGGTGGGAGCGAAGGAGGAGGGGATATTTGGGGATGCGGTGAAGCAAGAGCAGCAGACAGCGCAGGTGCTGCTGCTGCTTGTGCAGCAAACCCATTGCAGTGGCGAAATCTTTTAAATCGAGGAATTTCAGAAGCTCTAACAGATGCTGTAGGAGACAAGCGATTTGCAGCTTTTGTTGAACTGCCCAACCCTGCCGTCTACAAGGACTATTATGAGGTTTGTTCTTTCCGCCCTTTTTTGCTCTGTATTTTGCGTTCCACTGGCTGTGCATTTGGTTCTGTACTTTTGTTTGCCTTTTGTCGTCGTTTTTCTTGCCTTTGTTTCTGTTTTTTTGTTTTTCCCTGCTGAAAGGTAGTCGTGGCCCTTTTTCAGCGCCCTTCTTAGCCGGGCCGGTCTCCCGTATCCCTTGTACTCGTGCTACTTACGCTGCTGCTATTCCTGGTGCTACGCTTGCTGCCGCACATATTCCTGCTCTTGCTAGTGTGTCTTGAGCGCGCGTATTGTCTTTGTCTGTCCCCACGGTGTTTCCTTGTAATTTTTAAGCCGCCGCATCTGTCTCTTAGTGGGGACGGCGCAGCATGCCGAATGCAAGAGCATGCACGCAATTTTCTGCTTCTGCTCTGTTACAGCGCGTTGCTAAGCCTGTTTGCCTGCTGCAAATTCGACGATTTGCAGACAAAAGCGAATTCACCTCGCTAAAGTGAGGCCCGTCTGTTGCTACAACTGCAGCAACAGATTGAGTAACCATGCTGTAGCTGCAGTAGAACCAGCAGCGGATAGAGCAGAAGCGCTTTTGCTCAGCGCAGAGGCCGCTATTACCATCATCAGATGAAGCAGTAGTAGCAGCAGGAGTACTGTTGTTTGGGTGTTGGCATTTCAGCAAACTGGAGAAGTACTTGACGCGACTCGCTGAAAATGCGAGGGCCTACAATGGACAAGAGAGCCCGCTCTTCCTTAGGGTGGGTCTCTGCTGCCGCTGGCACTGCCGCCGCCGTAGCAGCAGCTCCTGCTGCTTGTTGCTTTGCAGCCCGAATTCGCTCTGCTCATGTCGCCGTTGCTCCAAGCTATTCAACAAGTTGTTCTTGTCCACAGCAGTCTCTCGTCTTCCTGACGCTGCTGCTGCTGCTTGTGTCGTTGTGCTTCTGCAGGCGCTGGAGTGTATGGGTTTCGTGTTGATAAGGAGTCGAGTAAACGCCTGCGTCTATTTCCATAGCATGCATAGCGCAGCGCAGGGCCAACGAATTCGGCAGTTCTTCGAAACCTTCAGAGGCTGCTGGGACCCTACAGTCAACGCACCCCCACCAGGTGAACGAAGAACAGCAACAGTAACAGCAGCAACAGCAGCAACTGCAGAAGCAGTGGCAGTATTCGCAGTATTAGTATTAATAGTAGGAAGAGATACTAGCTCTTCTCTGTAAGGACTTGAACACGGTAGCATATGCCTGATATGTTTGTTGTTGCTGATGCTTATGTTTGCGCCTGTTTTTGCGGCTTGTGCTGCTCCTGTTCTTGGGGGATGCTGTTTGTATGGCTCAAACCATGGGCAGCTCTCGCCTTTCGCAAGCTGCGCTGCTACTGCTCTGGCTTTTCCTGTTTTTCTGTGTTGGTGCTGGTGTTGTATATATATTGGGAGTATGAGAAGGGCGTCGCGCGGTGAATGGATTTGTGAACTTCGTTGCAATTGGTGTTGTTACTGTTTCCGCTGCTGTGCTCTCTGGAATAGGGGAGGGTGTTGGCTTGGAGGGGGAAGGCTTGGGGGCAGAGTTGATGGAGGGGGAAGGAGAAGAAGAAGAAGGTTCTGCAGTGTCTTCCAGCAGTGCAGCTTCGAACAGCCGCAGCGCCGCCTCATCTTCAGTTCCACCTCGAAGCAAAAGGCCGGCGTCTGCTTTCGGCCTCTTTGCGCTCCCCTCTGCTGCTGCTGCTGCGCCGGTCGCTGCTGAGCATCTGCACAGGCATCAACAGCTACACCTGCCGCTGCAGCACCAGCAGCAACACATGATGCACACAGGAGCGGGGCCCGCCCCCTTCGATGCCTCCGCTGCCCCCAGGAAAGCCCTTATGCGCCTCCCGCCAAGGCCACCTGGTGCTGCAGGACCAGCACCAGCAGCACCTCCAGCAGTAGCGGGAGGGGGGCGAGGCGCTGGCAGCAGCAAGAAGCAACCGTACATGCCGAGCTACTTGGGTTATATTCCTGAGGGAATTGAGCTGCCGCTGCCTCTTACCAAGAGAGGATCGCAGCAGCAGCAGGAACTGCAGGAGCAACACCAGCTGCTGCTGCAGCCGCAATCCAAGAGGCAGCGCAGAGCCGCAGCTCGAGAGGCCGATGCTGCTGCTGCTGCACATCAGCCGTATATTCCGGCAGCTGCCCCTGTAGGCCTCCCCGTGCAAGCCGTGCCGCCGCTTGCACATTCCGGAGGGTTTCAGGGGAGCGATGCTGCTGCATTTGAGCAGCAGCAGCAGCCGTTTGCTGCTGCTGCTACAGTTGAGGGCGTCTCTCAGCGAACACAGCGCCGTGATAAAAAGGGGAAGTCCTCCAAGCCCAAGAAAAAAACAAGGGAAAGCTCCTCGCACCCCCAAGAGCTGCAGCAGCAGCATCTGGTACAGCAGCAACAACTGCTGCTGCAGCAGCAGCAGCTCGTGCAGCATCATCCAGGCTCCATGCCTTCTCCCGCTCATCCGCAGATGGGGGAAGGATCAGCACCGCGGCCACACGGGCTGAAGCCGATTCGAATCCGCCTTTCTTTCGGCATGCAGCAGCAGCAGCAGCAGCAGCATGCAGCACAAAACCAGGATCAGCTGCCGCTCCAGCATACGCAGCCGCTCTACGGCTCTGGGAGGCCGCATGATCTGCAGCAGCAGCAGCAACAGTTGCAGCAGAATCCCGTGTACGGGCAGTCAATGCACTCATTGGCGCACCCGCCACCCACAGACTCGCACCAGCAGCTGCAGCAGCAACCAGCACCTCCTGCTGCGCCTCCAAAATTTCGCATTCGGCTTCCAGTGCAACCCCCACAGTAGCTGTTGTGATGGCGAAATGGACAATCGGCTCCTCGACGGCAGCTGCTGCTGCAGCAAGTCGTGGTGCTGCAGCGACATTGCAAATAACTTCAGAACTGCATTCGTGAATTCGGGTCGTTCTGAGAGGCTTCCGTTTGGCCTCTGTCGTCTATTTTCCATCGAAAGAAGCCGGGCCTACAGCCACTCCCTATATATATATATATATATATA